CCAGGCATCTTTTTCATCAGGCGTCTTTTTTATATACAAGGCGCCTCTGGTAGGGCCGCGCCCTAAGCCTCAAATTCTCGGACGGTTTCTCACCAGGCGTCTTTTTTCATCAGCGTCTTTTTATCAGGCGTGCTTTTTTATATACAAGGAGCTCGGTTAGGGCCCCGCTAAAGCTTTCCAACATTCACCAGTGGCGTTCTTTTTTATATACAAGGATGACTCTGGTAGGGGCCACGCCCCCTAAGCCTCAAATTCTCGGACGTTTCATCATTGCGTCTTTTTCATCAGCGTTCTTTTTCTATATTACAAGGAGCCTCTGGTAGGGCTGCGCCTAAGCCTTCAAAATTCACCCGGCGTCTTTCGTTATATACAAGGCGCCTCTGGTAGGGCCGCCGCCCTAAAGCTCAAATTCTCAGACTGGTTTCTCACCAGGCGTCTTTTCATCAGGCGTCTTTTTTTATATACAAGGAGCTCTGGTAGGGCCGCGCCCTAAGCTTCAAATTCACCAAGGCGCTTTTTTATATACAAGGAGCCTCTGGTAGGGCCCCCGCCCTTAAGCTTCAAATTCACAGGCGTTCTTTTTCTATTTACAAAGGGCCTCTGGTTAGGCCGCGCCCTAAGCCTCAAATTCTCGGACGGTTCTCACCAGGCGTCTTTTGTTATATACAAGGCGCCTCTGGTAGGGCCGCGCCCTAAGCTTCAAATTTTCGGACGGTTTCTCCCCAGGCATCTTTTTCATCAGGCGTCTTTTTTATATACAAGGCGCCTCTGGTAGGGCCGCGCCCTAAGCCTCAAATTCTCGGACGGTTTCTCACCAGGCGTCTTTTTTATATACAAGGAGCCTCTGGTAGGGCCGCGCCCTAAGCCTCAAATTCTCGGACGGTTTCTCATCAGGCGTCTTTTCATCAGGCGTCTTTTTTATATACAAAGGGCCTCTGGTAGGGCCGCGCTCTAAGCCTCAAATTTTCGGACGGTTTCTCACCAGGCGTCTTTTTCATCAGGCGTCTTTTGTTATATACAAGGGGCCGCGCCCCAAGCGTCTTTTTCACCAGGCGTCTTTTGTTATATACAAGGCGCCTCTGGTAGGGCCACGCCTTAAGTCTCAAATTCACCAGGCGCCTTTTTTACCAGGCGTCTTTTTTTCATGACAGCACAAACTGCCCAAACTTAAGTTCGCACCAAGCACCAACTTAAGTACAGCCAGGCCTCAACTTAAGCACAAAACGCCCAAACTTACGTTCGGCCAGGGCGACAACTTCAGCACAGCCCCGGGCCCCAGCTCAAGCACAACTTACGCTCGCCCAGGGCACCAACTTAAGCACAGTCGGGCCCCAACTTATAGCACAAACTGCCCAAACTTACCTTCGTCCAGGACACCAACTTAAGCCCAAACCAGTCCTTCAGCCACTGATTACCCTCTTAAACCAAACCATTTCTTGCGCCAAGCCCTTCTCGAGTCAACATTCTACCTGGGTCGGCCCCTACTTGGATCATGTTCTACCCAAAAGGAATGCAAGCCAAGAGGCGCGGAGCTCCTCCGATTGCGATCGGGTTGGCCATGTTTGGGCCGTGAAATGCCGCGTAGCTTTTATACCGCCAAGCTTTGTGGTCATGTGTCCGGCAATCGGCATATGGTTCACTGGGCAGCAATGAACATGACAGTAGGGAGCATCTGAATGCATGACGTAACACCACAGCAGCCCTTTTTTTTCCTCGCTGCGCCGTTGGCATAGTATAAGCCCACGCTGTCCCATAATTCGTGGGCCGAAGCAAATGTGAGAAACCTGTACAATATATGCTACCGGACTTTGTAGATGTTTTGGCTTCGTGCACCTACATCTCTACGTCAACAATGCCTTCGGCTGCTGCCCATGCAACGGCTGCCGGGTAAGGGCTGCCCGTGGCAACAGCTGGAAGCAAGCGTCTCCGCAGCTCCCGCCGCAGCCGCCACCATGTTCGCCGCAACTTCGTGCAAGCGTTCGGCTCCGCGCATCGGTACTTCTCGTAGTTGCGGACATGGTGGCGCAGCTCCCTGACCCATGGTAGCCATCGCTTCTTCAGCGGTAAGTTGCCTTTGTTCCCCTGGCATTCGCATAGGAACTCTCGCCCGGCATCACAAAGCTGCGGCGCTGCAGGGATCGGTTTGCCGCGCAGCATCACATGTACCCGTGCCTTCTTCTTATGTGCCCAGCTGGTTGCCTTGTTAAACTTTGGGCTTTCGCCTGCACGGCGCCGGAATTGGTTTTGCGCACCCAGCGGCAGCAGCAACCCGGGCATGCCAAAGGCAAAAGCAGCCTCATAGACCGGGCTCCCCTTCTCTCGCCAGTGTTGGAGCCTGGCAGTGATGTGACCCCTGCCCTGGCGGCTGCTGGCGGCGCGGCCGAAAGCTTCTGGGCAGCAAAATGGGCAGCGTGGGCCCTCTCGCCGCCACTCGACTCTGCTTGGCCCTCCAGCGCCATCAGCAGCGAAGATGCAGTGTCGAGGGGCACCACCTGCAGGGTTTGCGAGGCCACAGCAACGTTGCGGCATGGCTGGGGCGGCGTCGCTGCGACAAACTTGAGCTTGAACCTTATTAAACGGCTGTGAAAGGAAAGGATGATTTGCTGAAAAAAGATGCTAGCGACCTTGCCGGATTTATCCATGGGTGAACCTTTCTTTTGTACCACGCCGCAAAAAGACGCCGATGACAGAGAAGAATCAGCTGCACACACAGCACATCCCGGGACGGTTGCAAGTCGATAGATCGATGAAACTTTTTTCGCCTTTGCTTCCCTGCCGCTGCTGAGTGGTTGCTACAGGCTCTGTGCATGCGTCACGGTGAGGAACAACGGGGCCTCATGCTGTACTTGACCACGGGTCTGAATGCAGGCTAGCATTTACCACGGGGATCTGTCCATCATCGAACTGCTTCACACTTTTGCCTCCATGGGTTTGGGCCCTGGCTTTGGCATAGCCCCGGTAAACTTAAGCACAATCCGGCTAAACTTAAGATTTCGCAGGGCCCCAACTTAAGCACATGGCCGCGAAACTTAAGTTTTCCAGCCCTGATTTAAGCATAGCTCGGGCAGACTTAAGCACAACCCGGCTAAACTTAAGATTGCGCAGGGCCTCAACTTAGGCACGCGGTCGCGAAACTTAAGTTTTACGGCTAAGTAAGGTGAGCACGACCCGGCCAAACTTAGGTTAACGACGGGTCCCGAGCCCCCACCTTGAGTTTACAGCCCCCAAGCATGAACTTAAATTCACATTTTCCATGCCCGAACTTAAGTTTGCATGCCCCAGGCCCCAATTTAGATTCATAGCCCCCAAGTCCCAACGTAAGTTTACAGGCCCCCGGCCGAGGCCCCAACTTAAGCACAGGTCGCAGGGTCTAGGAAATCGCAGATTTGGAGTTTGATGCTCCTCAGCTTGAAAAACGGCCGCCAAACGAGCCTAAATACACGAACCAAGGCGCCCATGATCCACACCATGACCAGCACCAGGATGTTGACGGCTAAGTCCTCAGGGCGGTGCGCGAAAGCAAGGCTCGCAAGGACTGGAGCATGGATCAAAGGCAATCAACCGAAAGATAAACCCAATGACCGCAAACTGATGATGATTAGCTTTGCATGACAACGCGCGACACACAAAATGTAAAACTTGCAAGGCGGCTGACCCTTTTTGATCCGGCAGCGCCAGGTTCCGTTGCAAGACGACGCTTGCATCACTTCCTCTGGGCGCGATACGCTCTCAGCTTTTCCCAATAGAATTCCGGGACCGTCACAATGCTTTGCAGGTGGGCCGGACCTTCCAGCAAAACGCATATTTCCCGGTTGCGGCTCTGCACGCGGTCCTGCGCTGCCGCGGCCATAGCCACAATTTGCGCGAATCCTGTCAGGGTCGACTCATAGTGGTCCACTCGGTTGAGGCGCAGCATGACCGAGCCGGCAACGGTCGTGAACACGGCTTCAGAGCCCTCATCGTCAATGGGATTGAGGCTGCATGTCACCACCAAGGGCGGTGGAACTTCTCGGACGTAGACTTCACCGGCGGGGGAGCCAACCCAAAAACCGCAGTAACGCAACTCTTGAGCGGCGTAAACAGCCACGGCCGGGTTGTCTGCACACCATCTCTGAAAGCGGCACTTCAAGAACTCTTGCTCCACAATGTGAAAGCCGGGCATGAACCATCCGGGGGCATCTTGTGTGTCGTGGCATGTGGTGCCTGGGTTGAAGGACGTCCACGCGCAAGGGTCTCCATCCAGGCATCGGCTCCATTCCAGGCGGCGATCACCCATGCTGCACTGGGAGGGCGTGCCGGCCTTTGATGCCGAAAAGCGTATACCGTATAAGATTTGCTTGGGCCTAAATGAAATTGGCTGGGACACAAACATGCAATCCCCAAATGAGACAATGCAACACATAAAATGATCCGTCCATTGGCGCCATCGTGGAAAAAACAGACGGCTTTCAATGACAAAACGCCGCCCGCGGTCCTGATCGCGTCAAGGCGGCTCTGCATCACCCCGAAGCCTCCTGGCATGCGCAAGAAAAATTTCGGGACTAGGGCAAAGAGACCGTGGCCCTTAAGTACAGCCAAAAAGCTTTAGGATGCATCCAGCCGGCCGGCTCATCATAGGACAATTGAAACCGGGGTCGGGAACCTAGCTCGGGCACCCGGAAATGTTGACGATACCGACTGTCCTCGTGGCTGTCAACAGTTGAAAAACTAAGGGTTGAACTCTTTTGCCCGGATGGAATGCTGCGGCTAGATTGAGCAGAAATGGCTGCGTGATGCTTTCAAATAAATATGGGCATCGAAATGTATTTGAAGTAAACCCTCGCACGGTTATCCAATAGCAAGATCTGCTCTTTGCACTTTACAATTTTCTCGGAACGGTTGTCCGCAAACCCTTACTTCTGATAGATCACTGGAAGCTGCTTGTTTTCACCTGACGCGAATCAGTATAACAGCTGATATGGATCTGTACACTGTACATAAAGCTGTCGCTTTGGTCGCTTTCAACGCCGCCGGCAATCTGGGCAGTAGCGCTGGCGCTTTCCTTCCGCTGAGGGCGGCGCTGTAAACTTGCGCTTGCAGTCCTTACCGCGGCAGGTCAGCTCACCATCCTTTCGCTGATCCCGGGAAGCACAATTCAAGCAATGCCGGGCGCGATCCTTGCCTTTGGCCACAGTATTCAGGAACATTTTGCTACAGGCTTGACACTTGAAGCAGCCGCTCCATTGCTTGTTCTTCTGCTGACGGAGTTCTTCCTGGCAGGCACGACAAAGGACACCAGACGTCGGCATGGTCACCATCTGCGGTTCAAACTCGGGCTGCGCCTTGGTCCCCAAACACCGGCAGCATTGCATCTGCGCCCGCTGCACCTGCAGGCATTTCAAGCAGTGCCGCATGGTGTCAGCACGCTCCTGCACCAGCTGCGCGCGCGGGAAGGCCTCAGCAATCTTGATGGTGTTGCATCCGAAGCACTCGAACTTCTCCCTGCGCTCCACCTTGCGGCGCTTCGCGCCAGGTCCGTCCTTGCAAGCCTTGCACATGCCCTCCTTGTTGGCCCGGACTAGCTCCCACTGCTCGTGCGAGTAATATTCCAAAGACCAGACTTGCTGGCATTCTTTGCATGTGGCGCACGGGTTGCGCGCCTCCCGCACCGCGGCCCAGTCGATGGCTTCCCCGCGCAGCTTCTGGAGGAGCAGGGCAGGGCCTTGTGATTGCAGCCCGCGCCTGAAGAGGAAGTCGGCGAAGGGGCGCAGGATCAAGACGTCTTCTCGGCTGTGCACCCGCGTAGAGGCCACGTGGCCGATGGTCGGGTTCACCTTCTTGTCCACCTGCAAGTCCAACAACACGGCTCGGAGGGTCTTCCCTTGGCTGGTGCGGGCGGTCATGGCAAAGGCAGGAGCCAGGGGCAGCTGGGTGCGCTTGATCTTGAGCATCTTCACTTTGCGGCCTTTGTCCAAATGCCACGTTTGCCTTATCGGCGTGATGGGGTAGACGCCCGGCTCGTCGACGCCGTCCAGCTGCCAGGTTGCATCTTCGACCTTGACGTAGACGATGGATGGCTGCTTCTGCGATTTCGGCCAGACCCAAGAATGCACAAAGCCGCGGGTGCCACGAAGGAGCTGCTTGTCGGAGCGGTCGATGTGCTCGGTGAATGTGACGGGCATGCCAATCGCAAGGGGCAGCATTCCCATCAAGTTGGCCGTGTCCTTGTCGTGGTACTGCAGCCACCTGGCAAAAGGAAACAGAGCGTCAACGGTTCTTGCAGGTTCCAATGGAAATCGAAAAGCTGTGAAAACGAAGACAACAATTGCTCAAAACAAACGCAATGAAAGCAAGGGGTCCCGAGCCAAGGCGCTTGATCTTGCGGTCCTTGTCGCAGACCTGCGCCTGCAGCGTTTCGCTGGATGCCACATCCTTTGCCGGGGACCACCGTAGCTGTGTCCCGGCGTCTCGGGCGTACTTCTTCGCCCTGAGCTTGTTGACCTGATACTTGGCATCGTTGTTCGCCACGATCAAGGGGGCCTCCTGGAAGCGAGGCAGGTGCAGTCGCGGGTCGTCAGGTCCGGTGATGACCCGGCGCCGCGAGACGCGCTCCTCGGCAGACAGCTGGCAGCCCTCCACCGGTTTGCCGTGCAGGTAGTTGATGTTGTCGTCGGAGAGGCCACCGATGCGCAGCTGGTCTCCAACTTCATTCCACCATGCATCCTTGCAGCGCTCCCGTTCTGTCAGCTCCACCACGCCCTGAAACTCTTCCCACAGCAACTTCTGCCCCGCGTCCACCATGGCATCGGGCGGCTTGCTGAGGTCGTGCGGTCCGACCCATTGAC